TTACATTTTGTTTTGTGTTAATGTGGTAAAAGTCTTCAATTTTGTGATAGTAAAAATAATAATGTCTCAACAATGAGCATAATAAATAAGAGTACAAAAAAATATGAAACGTCAAAAAACTTAATTTAAAGTAACTACAATAAAATAAATTCAATATTTATTCACAATGTTAAAGTAATACTTCTGTCAATATAAAAAAAATAATGTTAAAAAATTAATGAAAAATTAAAAAAAATTAAAATATGTAAATATAAAGACTAAAAAGATTTATCCTAAATTATAAGAAATAAAGAGAAATGAAAAGGATAAGAACTAAAAAAATATATTTTAAATTATATAAATTAAAAAGTAATGTAAATAGAATTCTTGTAAAAAAAAATTAAACCTAAAATAAATATGATAAGAAGATAAGAGAAAGGAATTGTGGATTTGTACAGGGAACTTGGCGAGAAGACAGCTTGAAAATGGCAAGTAATGAGTGGTCTGAACCAATGGAGACTTCTCCGGATTGGGTCTTTAATCTGAACTATCAACAGCTCACAACTGTTGATTGGGTGGTTCAACTTAGGATCCCACACACAATTTTGCACCACAGATTGCAATAACAAATCCTTTTCACAACTTGCTTACCAATATTTATAACTCGTACCTACCATTACGTAGGTAACTAATATTTAATATTTTTATGACCAACAGGGTTCATATTATTTTTAAGCACTGGCTCAGTTGCTTACGAAACCCTTTGTGATTACCAAATGCTCTGTCCTTTTGTCCACCGTTACTTTTATTGTTTATATACTACCATTATAAATACTATAATATTGATTTAATTCGATTTTTGCCCTTTTCAAACTTAACTTGTTTGTGACTACTAGGGTTAGTCTAGTAATTAAGTGGGGAGAAGTTAAAGTAGTTAAAAGTATGAGGACGTAGGTTCAATCTTTATTGCAAACATCTTTGTAATATTTTCTTATTTTTACAAAAAAAAAAAGCTTAACTTGTTTGTGATTTTTTTTTTCTTCCGATATTTTAGGTTCGTTATTTTTCTAATTTTAAAATTATATAAATTTAGTTTTGTCATTATTTTTACATAAAGCTTTCAAAATTTTATTTTTATCCAAGTAGTTAAAGCTTTTAGCTTAAATTCAGATATAAAATACTGTAAAAAAAAGAAAGATGTAAAATAATTTAAAAAAAGACTCAGTAAAAAATTTGATAAGATATGAAAACTTTTGTAAGATAAAAAACTAAGGTTTAAAGACGGTACAGTTTGAGTTTTTTTTTTTTTTTTTATAAATAAAACTTGACACATTAATTGTTTAGTTTTAAACAGAGTTTAATAGCTGTTAAAGTAAATATTTACACAATAAACTAATAAAAACTATTTTTAGTATAACTTTTAAGATATTTAAGTTTTTTTTTTAAATTAAAAGAAAAACCCTACAAATATTAAAGGCAAACCAAACACATTTTAAATATATCTAAGATTAGCATTCTTACTTATAATATTTATGAGAGTACAAAATAATGCCTTCTCCAAAATATTTTTAAAAGTCTTTTTAGTTAGAAGGTTAACTTTTAAGTTATTTAAAAAGATTTTAATTTTTTTTAATAAACTTATTTAAATAAATATAAGTAATATTTTTGTTGATTTTTATATGGCACTTTAAAAATTCACTTTAAGACTGGTTTAATTGATTTACAATTAAAAGTTTTTACACAATATATATTCGTTAAAATCTATATTAAAAAATATTTAAAAAATATTTAAAAAATATTATTAATAAAATTTTAAAATTAAGCCTTAAAAATAAATTCCATGAAATAAATAAATTAAATATATACCTTGAATTTAAAATCTGTAATATCTTGCAGTTGCTATAGAGTGAACAAAATTAAAGTGTAACATCATCTGTTTCTTGAAATAACAAATATATAGTTTAATAAATATGGTTTATTTTATTTCATTTAATTAAAAACTCCTTATGAATTTTTTAAATTTCCATAATTTTTCAACAATGAATTGCAACTCACCTCAACATATAATTATTGAAAGAAAATAATAATAATTAACAAAAACGTGTATAGTGTTACAATCCTATGTTAGAATAATTATATTTTCATTGTTGGTTGTTGAATTGTAGTGTAGAGATGTATTAGATGTTTGCAAGCTATATGTTTAATAATAGTAAATATATGTTACTTGATACATAAATGAAATTTATGATTTATATAGCTTAAATTGATTAAAAAAATTATATAATTAAAATATTTTTAAAATGATAACATGTTAATATACTAATAATATTATCAAAATTAATTTATCAACAATATTATATAACTAATAAAATATATAATATATATAATTTTTTAAAATTATTTTGTACATGACACATCATTATGTAATGTCAACATCTATATCATCCACTTAATTAATCATCATGTCACCTATAAGTGTCATATTAACAAAAATGATTAATTTTTTAAACACAAAATAGATAAAATTATCAAAATTGTACAATTAAAATATTTGAAAGACCCGATTTACTAAAGTTAAACTTAAGAAAACAAAATCACACAATTGTCTTATTTGAGAAATAAAAAGAAAATATAACTAGATTAGTAAGCAACAATCATCTAGTTTTAAATAGTATATATTATTGTAATTTGAATTAATTAAGATAATCATGACATATATAAATTTTAAGTGCATTGAATGAGTAAGATTGTTTTAAATTAATGCAAATGTATTATTTAAAAGTGTGTAGTTAAAGTAATTAATAAATATTTTTTTTGTCCTACCACTAATATTTTTTAGTCCAGTAATTTAGAGACTAATCCTTTGTTCTATGAGTTTTCACAGAGATTGAACACTTTCTTAATGCATGCCTCTAAAATTATTGAAATTTATTTTAAATCCCTCTAATGTCATTTGTCCTATTTCAGTCCCTTAATTCTGAAAATATATCACTTTTAGTCCTCTAAATATATTAGATAACACTTAAAAAAGTTATGCATTAATTTTATATTATCTTCTAATCATAAATTACTATCATGTTCTATGAGTTTTCACAGAGATTGAACACTTTCTTAATGCATGCCTCTAAAATTATTGAAATTTATTTTAAATCCCTCTAATGTCATTTGTCATATTTCAGTCCCTTAATTCTGAAAATATATCACTTTTAGTCCTCTAAATATATTAGATAACACTTAAAAAAGTTATGCATTAATTTTATATTATCTTCTAATCATAAATTACTATCATAAATTACTATATGGTGAGTTTGTAAACTTATATAATACACTAGACAATACTTAAAAACAATTATAAAATATTATTTAAACTACTTTATGGATCAAAAATAATGTATTTGAAAATTAGAGAGACTAAAATAGGACAAAATAATTTAGAGAGATTAAAATCAAATCGGAGAAATTTTAGAGGGATTAAAAAATATTTCACCCTTAATAAATATATAATAATTAATGTAATTTACCTTAATTATAAATTATAAAATTTAATCATTTAATTATTTTTATTAATTTTTTGGTGCAATAATTATATTTTATATAAAGTATGGTAACTTACACATTTGAACAAAGAGTATAAATTTTATTTAATTGGTTGATCAATTAAAAAAAGAATGTTGATTTTTGATTTAATGTTAAAAATTATGACAAGTATATGCAAATATGTCTAGCTCACTTGATTAAGGAAGATGTGAGGATTGTTCTAAATTTTCTTAATACGGAAAGTTCTATGTGGATAATAAAAAATGATAAAAAAAATACACAAGTAAGATGATTTTAAATAATTATATATAATTCAGTACTAGAATTAAAAGGAATTATTAAATACATAAAAAATTATTTTAATTGTAAATATACATGATTGTATTATGTATGATAATTACAATTAATGCATAACAAATAATTAAGATAACAAAAATGACTTAAAAATAGATATATAATAATTTTTTATTTGAAAAAATTACAATGAAAACAATAAAAATCAAACATAAAATATTATGTATACTATCTCAACTTTATACTACTTCATATTGACATATAATATAAAAATGAAGACGATAAAAATTATTTTAATAAAGTAATTAATATATATTATTAAAAAATTAAAGATGATGAAAATCATTTTAATAAATGTAATAAAAGTAATAAAAATTTAAATAAATACAACTTATATAAAAAAATTGATTTTCCCCGTAAGCTGGCCTTATACAAATGTCATATTAATTTTTTTTTTGTACATTATTATTATTTTTTATTTAAAGAGACCGTCATTTATTATTTTCTCAAATAAATGAACATTCTTATTTAATTCCATAATTTATTTCATTTTGATTATTTCCCTTTTAAAGTGAATCCTTTCCAAAAAAAAAATCTACATATTAAACTATTTCTTTATATAATTATTAGATTAATTTATTTTTTGTAAATAATTTTTTTTAATATTTTTTGAAAATGATAGTGGTTGGTGTTAAATAAATAAGTTTAAATTTATTAATTTTAACCATATAAAATTGTTACAAAATTTTTCTTGACCTTTTAAAACTTTTTTTTTACAACAATTTTTAAAATTGTAAAAAATGTTAGAAATATCTGATAGAAATAAAAAATAGATACACCAAATAAGTAATTTTAAATTGAATCATTTTAATTATTTAAAAATGTAATAATTGTTTTCTTAAAATTTAATCTTCAGAAAAATGTAAGAATGCTTTCTTGAACGCGTAATAGTTGAAGAGTTAGTAATTTCAAACTAGTTGAATTAGAAGTTTAGAATTACCTTCTTAATATTCAATGTAATTTTATTTGAGAATATATTTAATCTATCAACTCTGGTTAAGAGTATAAATAAGAAAAAAAAGACATTTAGTATATTATATTAAAAACTAAATGACATAATTTATCCTAAATAAAATAAAATAAAAGTGAGGGTCTAAAATTGAAGGCAAAGGTGGATTAAACTAAATTTGAAGGTGAAAGGAGAAGGAAAAGAGAGGTTTTTGGTGAGAGAAAAAAACAAAAAAGAATATCCGGAGGCGGCATGAGAAGAAGGCGGAATTGGCGAAAACACCGGCAATCGTGAAATCTAATGCCTCCGTGGACCACTCTCTTTGTCTTCCCACTTTCCACTCTCCAATTCTATTAATATCTCACTCTCTTACACTTCCTCTCCCATCCAAACATGGCGGCGATTCTCTCTTCCTCGCTCCTCCTTCCCAAACACACCCACCGCACCTCTCGTCCACCGCTTTTCAGGTAACTTCCTTCCTTCCTTCCTCTCTTGTCACTTTCCCTTCTCTCATTTCATCTTCTCTAGGGCTCGAGCTTCTCTGCTTCAGAACAACGAGGAAAAACTTATCCTACCCGATTCCTTCCCCTCTAAAACCTCACCTCTGCACACCACTACTACGAAAACAACCGATGCGGACGCAACTAAGACCTCTGCGTTTCAGAAACGGATTATCAAGGTCGAACAATCGGTCAATATCTTCCTCACGGTAAGTAAACACGCCATCGCGATGGCCGTTACTGTTGTTAAGTGTATGGACATTCAGCAAGCATTTTACGCTTTGTTATATTCGTTGGAATATTTATTGTTTATTACTTGTTTTCGGCTTTGCTGGTAATTTCAGGATTCCGTCATAAAGATACTTGATGCTCTGTATCATGATAGAAACTATGCAAGGTTTTTTGTGCTTGAAACTATTGCCAGGGTTCCTTACTTTGGTGAGTGATACTATTGTTTTTTTTTTGTTTTTTTTATTTATTTTTTAAATAGTGCCTGAATTGAATTCTTGATTAGTGAACTGTGATCCTTACTGCTACACTTGATTATGCTTGTGAACAAAATTAACCGGTATATCAGCTTTTGGTTTTATTCTAAAGTTCACCATTATGTAGGGAACTTGCAATTCTTTAGGCTTTTTGTAGTGAAAATTACTTTGCTCATATTAAGCATAATGATAAATGCTAGAAACACACTCATTTGATCACACTTTCTTCTGTTGATCGGAATTTATTGAAAACCACAAAACTTTATGGGATCACTCTTATTTGATGAGTCTCACTCATGCTTTTATAATTTTTAAATAAATTTTAAGTCTTGCTACTAGCGCCCAGCTAAGCTTAATAGTCAGTTATGTATTTATTTTACTTGTAAATGTGGGGAGTCATTGGGATTGTCTTTGCAATTTTTCAGTATTAATTTCTGTGTATTGTTGTCTGTGGCAGCCTTTATGTCAGTTCTCCACATGTATGAGAGTTTTGGCTGGTGGAGGCGGGCAGACTATCTGAAAGTGCATTTTGCTGAGAGCTGGAATGAAATGCATCATTTGCTCATCATGGAAGTAAGATCTCTGACATTTTTTTACCAGATGTCTTATTGGTCAATTCTTAAAAGATGTCATTCTGCAAATCTTGTTTGTTGTCAATCCATGAGTTTTGTTTTTGGAAGATCGGTAGTTGAACATATTATGAATAAACTTAACTGTTGAAGCAGAATACCTGATTGGAAGTAGGGGAAAATTGAGGGTATCCCTTACATCAAGGGAAGTTTAGTCATACAGTGGCAGTGGTATGTGCCACTTTTGAAGATAATGATTTGAGTCCCATCAATGTACTTCTATCATGTGCATATCCATGTTTATTTTTATTAATAATAACTTGGTAGTGGAAAATGTTTTCAGAAGAAAATAGTTTCCTTGAAAGCACATTCAAGAGAGCAAACATATATTTCTTGGGGGGAGTTTCTGCAAGTTTTGTAGTTTGCAATCACATGTATGAGTTGTGACTCTATTATTCACATACTTTATTGCAAGTGAATGATGTGATAAGCTTGGGCCTCTGATTGCAGGAATTAGGTGGGAATGCTTGGTGGTTTGACCGGTTTCTCGCTCAACATATTGCAATATTTTATTATATTATGACAGTTTTAATGTATGCAATAAGCCCAAGAATGGCATGTAAGTTTTGAATACTTGAATTTTGTATAACTGCAATTCCCACTACATCTTTTAGTTCGTTGGTTGTATTATCATGGAAATTTAGTGAAGTAGTCTATACATATGAGGTGTTTTGAAGACAAAATGAAAAATTGTCACTTGTTTGATTGGAAAGATAGAATTTGCCTGCACTTTTATTTACATATTTTACTAGTTATTTGCTTGGTTATATCAGTGACGCCAGTAAACTAGAAGAGTTACTGAGAAAGTATCTGCGATACCCATATGGCATTTTTTTTTTCCTAGTATAATTGATTAAAAGAAAAATGAGGTAAGCAATTGGCATTAAAGTATGTTTCTGCAACAACTAAATTAACACAGCTGATAAGCAGAGTTCAGCACAAACAAACAAAAAAAATGAAGAAACTGACCTAGGTTACCTTTGCTAAATTATCAAAAGTTAGCCATCATGTTTGACTGAATTACATTCTACTATTTGGAGACTGTAAGATTGGTTCTTTAATTACTGATTTTGTGTTTGGTTTATTGCAAGTGCAGATCACTTTTCTGAATGTGTAGAGAGACATGCATTTGAAACTTATGACAAATTTATCAAGGACCAAGGAGGTATTATGAAGATTTCTTCCCTCTTTTCTTTTTTGTGTTATTTAGATATTTATTCTGTGTTTATACTCTTGGTTTTATGCTTTCGTAATTGAGGACTGGAAAACCATTGGTTTATGCTTGCTCATGAGTCATGATTTATTTGATATTTAAATTAATTAAAGACAAGACGAGCTGTTAGGCTGTAGCATGGTTGAATAATGAGTCTGAGATTATTCTAGCTTTATGTATATGCTTACTTCTTTCATCTTCTGTCTTGGATTATCTTGTTCTTGAAATTACATTAATATTTAAAATAACAGAAAAGAAAGCAGATAAATAATCCTGCATTGACTATTTAATAAATAATATATTAATTATTTTATTTGATGAAGGTTCCAAAGAATTTTCCCCTTTCCTTCAAATGCTTATTTATAGTGTCTATTTGTACCTGGTGCTTCAATAACTCCAACATGGTCTGATATATTTTTTTTGTCTTGCAGAGGAATTGAAAAAAATGCCGGCTCCTGAGGTTGCTGTGGATTATTATACAGGAGATGACTTGTATTTATTTGGTAAGCTTTTTATTTACCTAAGGTTTTCTACCGGATCAGAAAACTGTAATTTCTCACTTCCCACATCATTCTCCTCAGATGAATTTCAAACCTCCAGAGTTCCAAATTCTAGAAGACCTAAGATAGGTATGCCTTGAAACCTGGTCCAACATTACTTTATTGGTAATTTACTAAACTGAATATATTGTCGGGTGGTGGATGGCTAAATGTCACTTTTTGAACATTATATATCATTTGAGGTTAAGCACTTAATTACTCCTGTTCTGAAGTGGAAATATTCGTATTATATATTTCATTCTTCGCAATATCTTCCCCGCTTTTTTTTTTGTATCATTATTTGTTTCTGATCCTCAGGAACAAACCAAATACTTCTTTGCATTGGACCTTTTTAATGCAGTAAAATTTTTCACATTGATGATTAACAATTTATTTATTTCCCATCTAGAGAATCTGTACGACGTATTTGTAAATATCAGAGATGACGAAGCTGAACATTGTAAGACGATGAAGGCTTGTCAAACCCATGGGAACCTTCGGTCACCTCATTCATATACAGCGGATGATGATGGCTCAGTCTGTGCTCTTGAACCAGGTTGTGAAGGAATAGTAGACTGCATAACGAAATCTGTTACTTCTAGTCCAGCTAAAGTGAAGTAAGATATGCGGCACAACATAGTACATTCATTTACTAAGATACGAAGGCAGGGAATACTGATTGGAGGAAGTAAATAGTTAATATTTGGATAAGGTTACTCCTGTGTAATTGTCTCTACAGTGGTAAAGGTGAATTAATCCTTAAACTTTATTAGATCAAGATCATGAAATATCAGTGTTGACAATCTTCTGTTAGGTTAGATGTTCATACTTTATACCTCACTGTCTGAAGACTATCAGAAAATAATATTGCGAAGATTGTCTATGGTTTTGCTCTTGCTCTTTTCCTTGCTTTTGGAATTTGGAGCTTTGCCATTAGAGCTAAAGTGTTCCACGTGTTGCCTTTTAGAAATTATCTATCACTGAATTTTTTTCTTGACACCATCACTGAAATATTTATATTATGACAACTAGAGAAAAAATAAAATGAAAAAAAAATTAAAAGAAGAAAAATGATTGGAAAATAATAGCATATTAGAGGACAAAAGATTGGCAGCGAGGCTGGTTGGTAGGATTGGAAGGTTCACCTGAATTAGAGTAGTGATAAGGTATGAAAATGGAATTTGGATCCATTTCTTCTGCATATTTATAGTTTCGGATGTATAAAATACCAATATTTTTTATGATAAACATTTAATGTCATTTATACAGTTAACTATAGAAATGAAAAGAAGAAAACAGGGAGGATCTGTACTCGTGAAGGTATGCTAAAACTGTTTTTTGTGAGTATCCTCACGAACATGCAAAATTTCATGGCTACATCTGGCAGCTTTTGTTTTAGTTTCAGGAATTATTTTCTTAATTTTTGGGGAGAGGGGTATGTGCGCACAGCGGTGTCAATGGCCACAAAGAGCCATGGCAGCCTGTTCCAATTATATATACACACATATTTAGCCATATTTCTACCGGCAGCTGTGGCAGCTTCTGTATGCCTTTTGAGATACTCCTCTCGCTTCCACAGCTGTGATACTTATCACAGCTGAAATATGTAGCATTTCCTGATTGTATATATGTACCATTTCGTGATAATTGAAGATCACGTCATCTTTTCTTTCCAATTATTTCTCTTCAATGCATTCTAATAGACATACAAGTTATAATTCCCTTTTACCTACACGTTCTTCCTGCATGTCAGTCAAATGCTTGCAAAAACTTTTCTCGGCTGGCAATATCATTGTCACTTTCAGCGGAGCTTAGCATATGTCAATCGGATCGAAAGCAATCCACAAACACTGCTCTGCGTAGAATAATGTCAAACCCATTAAAGCTCCAATAATAATAATAATAAAAAACAGGAATCGTGGTTGGGGCTCAAATATAAGGATTTCCATTGTCTAAGTTAGTTTTGATAAAGTATAAGGATAATGGTGGTGATTTGGTGAGTATAATCTCTTTAAATTGGCTGAGATAGCATCACCTAGAGGGACAAGAAACGGATCAAAATGTGATTCAATTGGGCTGATCAGACTAAACATTGTTGAAGACTTGAAGTTAGTCCTAATCCCGACCTTTATTAGAGGAGAAGTGATCAAGGGAGATTAGTCCCCAAGTGAATGCGTTTCTGAAGCTCATGATGGTGAGGATTGGTAAGGTAAAGAAAGAACGCCTATTGTGAAGAAGAAAAATGCAGGGAAGTGTCACCGATGATAGTGAGTCCTCTGGTATTGGGGGTCTTAGTGATGTATCTGCAGAAGAATATTATGAGATCGCAGATTCACCTTTTCTGGGCTAATATGCCAAGTTGAAAGAAAATTAGGATTGGGTGATTCGAAGAAAAACCTGGATGCTGCTATTGAGTGTTTTAAGCTTGCAGGAGCTTGTTAGGCCGATATTTCAATGGTTCTAAAGAATCATTGTGCCAATGGAGATGCAAGGGAAGGAGAAGTAAAAGGATCAAATAGAGATCAATGAGGCTAGTCCAATTTGAGATGAATCATGAGTGACTTTGGAATGTTGTTTGTCTGAGTGGCTGTTCAGTGGTGTCTCCATTGTCTGAGCTCAAAGGGGAATATGAAAAAGGTTATTTCTGGTCTTTTTTTTTTTCTCAATTATTTGAGTTTCTAATAATAAATTTTACCCACCAAAGACCGTGTGTCTTGTTCCCCTGCTATCTTGAGTGTATTGTTTCAATTTGTTGAGGATTGCATACTTTTTCTTGAAAAGATTTGTTTGATTGTTTCTTCTCCAAAAACGTTGCTAGTGTTGACCATTTTACGCCATGAGTTTTTATTTTGTACGGGCATAAGTTAAATTTGTTACTTTCAGAGACATTGTGTTGTAGGAAGTCTACTGTATGCTGATAATGGTTTGGGAGTAAGGCAAGATGTGCTGAATCAGTTTCCCATCTCAGGAGTTGATGCTCCGAAAAGTTACTGTAAAAGCAAAAGTAGAAAAGCAAATAGGTAAAGGAAACACAAATACATGAATGCCTCTGCCCTGCAGGCCAATGATCTGATGGATTGTTTCTATCAAGGAAAGGGAGAACCTCATGTGTGATGAACTGATTAGATGTGGCAAAGTGCTTTGATAAGTTCGTTGCCGTGCATGGTTGATGATTGTTCTGTAACATGGATTTAAGTAGATGATTAAATATATTTTTCTAGTTTCAGCTTATTGCTATTTATTTAATTACGTGTCAACTGGATATTTCCTGAAGAGAGCCAGGGCATAGAGGTTCTCCTGCTGCAATTGGTCTTTGCTTCTGAAATGGTATTTCATTCAATAAAAACCGAATTTTAGTTAAATTAGTTTAAATTAATTTGAATGTTCAGACATCTTTAACCATTAGTCCTATATTTTATCCTCGAATATTCCTCACTAGTCTGCTTGGAACTCAGGTATCTCCTTATATCATAATCCCTCATTTTTTTAAAATTTTTTTTATATATAAGAAACATGTATTTTACATTAGCATTTGTTTCTTATAAAAAAAAACTAGAGATAATATGAAATTATGATTGTTTTGTGTGAATAGACATGCAAGTAATGAAATGAAATATTTATTTTAAGCTTAGAATTTTATTTAGTTTCTATAAATGTTGTTAAATTGATTTTGATCTGATAAGAAATAAAAAAATTATAATTTTAACTATACATACAGAAAATAAAGAAATTTTAAAAAATGAAAAATGCCACAACGGAGACATTTTATACTTAAAAAAATGGAGAGTGTCACAAAGAAGAGACAAGCTAAGGAGTATCTTAAAAAACTAGCTTTTTTTCTCGATAGAAAAATATATATCACATCCCTTCTTTACCTTTAACAGTTGAGGAAAGAAAATATGATTTTATTTTACGTCTACATTTTGTTTTGGTGAGACCACGTCCACCTCTTTAACTGAGTAATAATATTTGCACGTATTTTGAGCATGACCCACATAAATTTAACAATAAAAATAATGTATTGAAAAATGTTAGAGGGTGTATAATATCAACATTTTTTAATATATAACTTATTACAAACTATCGTTTTTAAAAACTATTATTCCACCCAACTGTTCTATATATAGATTATTTGTTCGATTTTGTCTAGTTTAACTAATCAATTTTAATGATTGAATGGTAAGCCATGAAATCTATATATACATGCAACTACCAATTTTCCTCGTACTTGCGCCAAAAAACAAATATAAAGCTCCAAATAAATTTTCAGTGCCTCTTGGTATGTCTACTCTTCTGGACATTATTTGCATGGTAGAAGGCCTAAAAGCAAAAAAAACTAAAATCCTTATATACATATTTATTAAATAAGATATTACTACAATATCCACATAAATTGAAATGTTTTGATACAATTTTTTTTTGTCATTGAATTATATATTTTATATTTATATAATTTTCTCTTCAAATTTCAACATCTTTCTTATATTATATTAGTTATTTAATAAAAATGTAGAAATATAATTTTAAAACCTATAAAATATGGAGTGAAAAAATATTTATAATAATATAAATAAAGCTCAAAGTTAGAGGAGCATATAATCACCTTATCCAGTCATCTGTAACTGGTGTTTTTTTAAACTTGGCTGGTCACTTTCACCAAAGATTATGCACTGGCAATTACATCCCAGAGTGGCTTTTGACTGGAAAAGTTAGCAACATTTGCCGGTGCTCTTAACGGGAATATAATGCACGTGGTATCTCATTTCTTGCACAACCGCAGTTTTCTGTGAAGCATGCCAATACATTAAATTATTAATCTTATACAACGGGATAACGCACACAGACTTAGTTTCAGTTTACCAGCAATAAAGTAATAGAAGGAAAATCTATGTTGCAGATAGACATTAAGCAATGATCAATTCAATATACATATCCTGTTCACACGATTACTTCATTCTTTTCCTTTAGTTCATGATTTTCCTTTGCATGCTATTTTTATATTTAACAAATCCAACTAGATTTTCGAGTTTTAGGCCGGGAAGAATGTAGATTTGGAGAAGTGGTCCCAATATAGCATTATGACTAGTAGAAATTCCCCCATAGAGGTTTTATAAATCAGAGTGATCGTACAATATAAAACAAGAACCCATTTAGTTCTCTTATCACGACCTACTTTTCCCCCATTTCTTTAATTAATTTCCAGATGCTACTGGTAGCCATTCAGAGTTGATTTTCAAATCCAAGGAAGCTGCTTTCTTACCAACTTTAGATTGTTAACATGATTAAAATTCTTGTTTGGTCGCTGTCCAATAGTTTATAACATATCATTATTGTACCTTTCGGTCCCTCAAATGGAAACTTAATTAATTACCAATCAGAAGGACCTGTATTCCTCCTTTTTCAAAAGTAAACTACTGTGAAAGAGATCGGAGAATGACATTAATTAATTAATATAGCCCAACATGCAATTATATATATCATGAGCAACACAATTGCCATCTGCAATGCACGTTTGGCGTAATTGAAGTTAACAAGGGAGTAGTTGCTAAATAACGATTAATGTCTTGCCTTTACAATTACATCACGTCATCACCTATGCAAAACCAAAACCACATGACATGGTACTCAATCCAGAGATTGGAACAAGATCTGACAATTGGGTCGTGCTACTGTCGCTACGTGTGTAAATATTTTACGTGGATAATAAAGTTCAATTAACGTAACTGCCCATAATAAATCCAAATGACCAATGCTTGTATTTTGTTACGTCATCAAACAAAATTGTCCAAATGAGTAAAGATTACATGTGAGCCGTTCTATTTCATGGGGGAAAAAAAAATGAAATTAAGAGAAAATTCTCTCTCCTTTTCTTTGAATTTCTTCTGTGGACGTGTCCCCACTTCCTAGCAAAAGATGGCAAATAGATTACTATACCCTTATAAGGACTCGTCAATTCCCTTAGACCACTTCACAACTTTAACTGTTCGCTGTCTTCACTTTTCCAGTGGGTGTAATTGCCTAATTGGGGTTTATTCTGGGTTAATTTTAATTCAAATCTTTCAATTTCTTTTTGTTATTATTGTTTCAATGCATGAAGCAAAATAAATCAAGATTTTTTTTTTCACATTCTTTTCTTAAACAGCATTCCTTGCACTCCACTTTTTATAATAGAAAATTTTAAATTTGAGTTTAATTCTTTTCTTTTTAATCGTAAAGAACAATTGAGGGAGTAATATAGAAAGAAATAGTAAGAATATCACTCTATATTTCTTCATAAGCGGCCAAAGAGAAATTATGAGAGACAGTTCCTTGTAAAATGGGCAAGATGAGGTTACTTTCTAAAGCGTAGTGTATCACTACATCGATCGCACTAACTTAACCATCATAGGCAACATCACTGATCACACACAGTACAAACTATGATCAACCTAGTACTTTATTTTAAACTATAAGGTTTATACTGCACAAGCTCAAGCTTCCATATACCATTTATCAAGGATACCAAACACTAGTGGGTAAGTTGAGTAGCCTTAATTTGTTTATTATTAACAGAAACACACATAACCTTTCCATATGCTCAGGACGAGGCTCAAACTGTGGCTATGGCCCCCGCATCAACGCTTGACGTGGCCTTCATAGCTTCAAATCTTGGCTCCTTAGCCTGAAACTTGAGACCAGCATAGAGCTTCATGTAATCGTCAAAAACGAATTTGGGGTACACTTGGCTTGTCTCATTTTCCTTCACCAAGGCTGGTGCAGGAGATATGACAGCATCATCACCAGGGTTATAGAACGAAGCCAGGGACATTCTGGTACCATCTGTTTGAGCAATCACACGGTGCAACACACTCTTGTACTTGCCATTGGTTATGACCTGTTAATGTCACAGCCACAAAAGCACAAAAACAACTAAATTATGAAGAAGAATTGAAGTCATTAATAATGCACTAAATGCCAAGAGTATGGTGTTGGGTGTCATGTTTGATGAGAAATAATTAGATAGTCCAAGTCTCGACTACACTACGAGACATGCATTTAAGTTTTTAATTTACAAAAAAATTTAGCAAAACTTGATTACATCTCATTTAAAGATCAGTAGTTAGGATTTAGGATTTATGTGGTTCAGAATCAACAAATAATTTTTCTGTCCATGATTGGAACATATTTGTTATGGGATATATTGTTGTACGGTGACAAGTTACAAGTGAGGGACATTATAGGGTAGTGGGGGCATGTAGATATAGTATGTATACCTCAAGTTGGTCACCAAGGTTGATGACAATGGAGTGACGCATTGGTGGGACATCGATCCACTGGTCATCCTTGAGCAGCTGCAGTCCACTGACCTTGTCATCTTGGAAGAGTAGGATAATGCCACCAGCATCCGTGTGAGCCCTGAGGCCCTTGATGAGATCAGGGGTGGGACAAGGAGGGTAGTTGCTAACTTTGGTGCCAAAGTTTGGACCCTTGGATCCATAAAACACTTTCTTCAGGTACCCTTTCTCCAGCCCAAGATTCTCACACAGCAAGTCCAGAAGGTTCTCTGCAAGTTTCTCCAATTCCGCTGCAAATTGCTTCATCACCTTCCTGAAAGAAAGAAACATAAGAGTACATGTGTCACCATGAGACTCGGCCTGTACAAAAATTAAAGGCAAAAGTTGGGTGAACTAGTCTAATTAAACTCCTAAAGAAGGAAAGAGAAAGAAGAGAGAGAAATATATGTTTAATTGGTGATAGGAAGAAAAAAACAAACAGATGTTGATAAAATGCATGATATATAATCAAACAAAAATTCACAAATTAAGGAGAGATGTTATGGTACACCAATCTAGGGGTTTTGGTACAAAATAAATGGCATGACTTCATGAGAACTCATGCATCTACCAAAATCCATAGATTGATCATGTACCATAGAATTTGGCTTGAAAAGACATGGTTTCATTATAAATTAATGTGACCTGTAATCTTCATCAAGTTCTGTGTTGTCTGACACGTTGGAGACTGGAAGATGGCGCAGGAAAAAGGTGCTTTCCCAGTCCAAGTCATTGATTTCAGATTGAACAGACTCAAGACCTTTGGTGGCCACCATTTCTTTGAACCTTTGCTCCATAGTCTTCTTGTAGTGTTCTTTGGTGAGCCTCTCCACCGTGTCCATCAACTCAATGGATATGCCATGGTTCACCACCTTGAGAAAAAGGAACACAAAATTAACAAAACCTATATTTTTCACAAAATTAACACACACATGCAAGAAGAGAAAATTTTCATATAAATCAATAATTAGTACCTCAAAGAAACCCCAGTTCTCACAGGCATCTTTGATCATTTCCATGGTTGCTCCTCTCTCTTCGGTGTTAAGGTTCCCCAAGTCAACAACTGGAAAGTTTGCCATTTGCTTCTTTCTTTTTCTTCTATCACTCTCACTTTAATCAGCTATGTGAGTATATGCTGTGAGGAAGAGGTGCAGTTTAATGTATTTATAAGCTAGCCTCCAACTATAAAGAAACGGAAGAAATTTATTTAATTAATTAAGAAAAGAGAAATTAAAGTCGCCTGGACGTACGCATGTTGCCTTATTATTTATTTTTTTAATTTTAATTTTCTACATGTTTTATTATAAGCTAAATCAATTTGAAGGAAGTGTTAGGAAACTCCAACTCTTATAACAAAATAAAGTTTAAGAATAGTTGAACAATAAACAAATTACATGTTGCCTAATATGTTTTCTTTTTAGTAAGAACATTGAAAATTTTAAAACACGTGGAATATTGAATCAGTGAAAGTAATCAGTAAAAAAAATGAATTAACAATATTTTATGTTTAAAATATTAAAATGGATTTATACTCTTAAATTCGTAATAATATATTAAAAAAATTAATGCAAATACATTGATATTGTAAAGGTTATTACATTGCCATGGTACATATATCATATATGATAAAATTGTTAAATTTGTAATAATATTTACTTTAAAATTTATTTTTGAGATGATTTTTAATTGGTTAATCATGTATAAAAAAAAATTACATGAAAAGTTAAATTTATATTAAAATTTGAATTGATATATTTGCCCTCTTAAAGTTCACGGACTTTAACTTCCATATACTGACATTAACTTTTTTTTTTTTAATATAAGGGAACAAATTTTTAACAAGTTAACACATGGGTACATATGCTGTGTGCAACTGCAGCCAATTTATTGAGTTAAAATGACTAACTTTTAACTGTGTAGGATTCACATTTTCACTTCCAAATAAATAAAATTTCTTTCCTCTCAATTAGTGGATTATTAATGCTACGTTTATTTGAGTTGAAAATAATAGGAAATGATCTTCTCATGTTGAATGTCCTTGTAACTTTGTCTAGTAAAAAAATATATTTATTTATATATCTCTTCATAAATATTATTTAATAAGATCTTAACGTGATAGACACTATTTTTTATGCATGAGAAAATCCATTCTAAAAATAATGAGAGTTGTAGTTAATGCTTTCACCAATCACCATGAGTTGTGCCACTTGAAGAATACAGAAATAAGTATAGAAGCAAACCAAGTTGGGTGGGAAACATCAATCTCGGGAAAAGGAGAAGAGAAAATAAAAAATAAATAAATAAATAATGGGAAGCGAAGTTTTAATTAATATAAAAAATTTAAATGACAGAGCAGAAACTCGTGGAGAATGTATGTGAGCACATATTGATGGACCCCTACCATCTTTTGTCACTGAGAATGTGACCATGTTCTTCGTTAAGAGTTTGAGTCATCTTCGGTTTTGGTAGGGAAATGGACCCTACTTGTGCCTGCGTGTTTGCTCTCTCTTTGTTTCTTCACATCAAATTCACCCAACCCCACAATCACAAGTGTTTACCTCCTTTCCTCTCACACGCACTACTCAATATCATATTCATTTGTTTTTTTTTTTTTTTTAATGTATGAAAACCCTTTAATCACAGTTCCATGAGTATAATTAGTGTCTCACCTAATAAATTAGGAATAGTAAACTATGAATATCACAATTGAAACAAGATTTACTCTACTCAATTATAATATTACAAATGAAATTAATCTCTTGTCCAGTATATTAGAACATACTATGGGTGGGAAAAAAGAAATGCATTTGGGTTTTTTCTTTGTGATTTTTTTTTTTCTGCTAGAAGAGATTTGTAACCCTTTTGTTCTATTTTAACTTATCGGGAAGCATGGGTAGGCTAATGAAACTATGATGAAAAGATGTATCTATCTAGCCTCTCATTTGTAAACATCCCATAAAGGACAGACATAAAGCTAGGCTTTAGATCGACATCATGATACCAAAATCAATTATCCTCTCTTTTTAATTGATTATTCTTTAACTCGACAAAATTATGACCAAGTATCGCGTAATAATTATGTTTAAACAAATTTAGTCACGTAAACATATATAGGTAGGAGTGTGAAAAAAATTCAAATTGATCTAAGATTTATAATCAATCTGATTCATATTAAAGTATCTTATTTATTTTGAAAAAAAATCTGATATGAATCAATCCACTTTATAAAATTGATTTAGTTATCCGATCCATTTTTACAAAGTAGATCGGTTTGGTTTAGTTTAGTTTTTTTAAAAAAGTCGATTCATATATGAGTAAAAAATGGATAACTACACCCCACCGAATTAATTCAATTAAAAAAAATGATCCATATTTTAAAAAAATAAAACTGATCCACTTTATAAAAAAATATATTGGTTAACCAACCACTTTTATAAAATCGTTCGGTTTAAATTTTTTTTAAAAAAATCAATCCATAAATACTCCTATATATAGGTACGCTATTTTCATACGCAAAACATTATTTGATATTACATATATGATATACCGATCAAATAATAACTTAACTATATATGAGTTTATTGACATTTTTTCTTTTGCCAAGAAGTGGTATTTACATGCATTATTAGTGGCATTAACATTATTCTCTGCCTGATCAAAATTAAGATTATCATCCATGAAACCTCACGTTGCTAACACAAATAGAGATCTCAAAATCAAATTATATGTGTACAAGAGATTTTGCTAGTGTTGTTGAGTCGGTCTCACTCTATACACCTTCTAATTAATCCAGGATAATAACTTACAAGGTATATAAATACATGATATTAACTAGCAGTGTTTAATAAAATTTTCAGAGTTATGTACGATATTATTTATAATATTATTTTCTTGACATATATTAAAGATATTTTGTAGTTAACAGTCAACAATTAATTTCTTTTACACGATATTTGATTGTCAGGAGAAAAATAGGTAAAATATAAAATAAAGCGAAATAAGTGAGTATAAATAGACAAAAAAATAAAGCAAAAATAAAACTATTTGATTTGATAGAAATAGATAAAAAGAAATAGAAAAGAAATAATATTATAAAATTATTTTATTTAAATGAATAGAAAGGAAAGAAATTATAATTTAAAATTATAATCTTACCCTTCTATTTAAATAACAATTTTTTAATTCCTATTTGAATAAACAAAATACTGCATTATAATTTTAAATGTGAATGTCTCCAACTCAGGTAATTACAAAAATCTATATTTTGATAAAAAAAAGGAAGATTAAATTATACTTTTGATTTCTCTATTTTAAAACAGAGGTATTTAGTTATCTTATTTTAAAAAGATATATAAAATTTTAGTCTTATTATTAATTTAATATTTATTAATCATCAAATTTTGATGTTGTTTAATAATACGACACCACTTAAATGAAATGATATTTAATTATATGATATATAGAGGTAAAAATTAAAAAATAACATACAAAAAATTCTTTATTTGTATATATTTTAATGAGTAATTAATATTTATTTTATTAATAAATTTTATTTATATTTTTTTAGTATTTTTTTACTTCCAACTATAACATTACTTAATGTCAAATCATTTATGTATGAAAAAATATTAAAACTTAATGATCAATAGATGTTAATTTGAGGAGAGAATCAAAATTTCATAATTTTAAAATTAAATTAATTAAATATCTCTATATTAAAATATAGGGACCAAAATTGAGAATTGACAAAAATAAAAGCACTAAAAGTGCAATTTAGCCTGAAAAGATCTAAATTAAATTGAAGAAAATATAATGGCACGTGAATCGACAGATCAAAATTAAGATTATCATCCATGAAACCTCACGTTGCTAACACAAATAGAGATCTCAAAATCAAATTATATGTGTACAAGAGATTTTGCTAGTGTTGTTGAGTCGGTCTCACTCTATACACCTTCTAATTAATCCAGGATAATAACTTACAAGGTATATAAATACATGATATTAACTAGCAGTGTTTAATAAAATTTTCAGAGTTATGTACGATATTATTTATAATATTATTTTCTTGACATATATTAAAGATATTTTGTAGTTAACAGTCAACAATTAATTTCTTTTACACGATATTTGATTGTCAGGAGAAAAATAGGTAAAATATAAAATAAAGCGAAATAAGTGAGTATAAATAGACAAAAAAATAAAGCAAAAATAAAACTATTTGATTTGATAGAAATAGATAAAAAGAAATAGAAAAGAAATAATATTATAAAATTATTTTATTTAAATGAATAGAAAGGAAAGAAATTATAATTTAAAATTATAATCTTACCCTTCTATTTAAATAACAATTTTTTAATTCCTATTTGAATAAACAAAATACTGCATTATAATTTTAAATGTGAATGTCTCCAACTCAGGTAATTACAAAAATCTATATTTTGATAAAAAAAAGGAAGATTAAATTATACTTTTGATTTCTCTATTTTAAAACAGAGGTATTTAGTTATCTTATTTTAAAAAGATATATAAAATTTTAGTCTTATTATTAATTTAATATTTATTAATCATCAAATTTTGATGTTGTTTAATAATACGACACCACTTAAATGAAATGATATTTAATTATATGATATATAGAGGTAAAAATTAAAAAATAACATACAAAAAATTCTTTATTTGTATATATTTTAATGAGTAATTAATATTTATTTTATTAATAAATTTTATTTATATTTTTTTAGTATTTTTTTACTTCCAACTATAACATTACTTAATGTCAAATCATTTATGTATGAAAAAATATTAAAACTTAATGATCAATAGATGTTAATTTGAGGAGAGAATCAAAATTTCATAATTTTAAAATTAAATTAATTAAATATCTCTATATTAAAATATAGGGACCAAAATTGAGAATTGACAAAAATAAAAGCACTAAAAGTGCAATTTAGCCTGAAAAGATCTAAATTAAATTGAAGAAAATATAATGGCACGTGAATCAACAGGAAGTAGGTTCTAATATTTATCTATTTGATCCTAATTCTTGTCTATAGTGATTACAAACAAGAATAGAAAAAATAAAATAATGAGAAGAAATAAAATGTGTAGGTGAAAGAACGTTTTGAGCCTCAAGTTAACTCACTACAAAAAATC